CTGCAAGAGCGGGGCTGGGTGGGTCAGCGAGGGACCACCGCGTGCCTGTGTCCTGCTGCCAGGCGTGGGCAAGTGCTTGTTGGCATCTTCCAGCCTCGTTCCTGCTGTTCAGTGCGTTCTTCCCGGCGGTCACCTTGCAAGCGTGCAGTCAGTACCAGTCCAGTACTTAACAATATACTCAACTTCAAAATCTGTTGCTGCAGAGCACCAGTTCGTATTGTTGCAGCTGAAGGAAGGGCAGTAGCAGCCTTAGCCTCGGAGCGTTGGCAGCCACGGCAAAAGTCAGATTTACTGTAAGCAGCTAAATTAACTGGAAGAAGGCGTTTATGGATTCTCAGTAAACAGGGGTGAAATGCTCCAGGTAGTTACCAGTACATCATCTGCCCTCATCCCCCGCTTGTGTTCCTTTTGAAGCTTTCTGAATCAGGCTTGTCGACGCACGGATTACACTGGCTTTACTCCAGACTTACCTCGAAGTGGGTAGGGTTTACTCTTCAACCAGAACTGGTACAAACGTCTGCGTGGAGACGCCTGCTAGTTTACAGCTCTGCTGGTAAATACCAGGTTGGAAAGCTGCTTTCCGCCCCCCCACGCGGGTAAACGGGGACAACTTGAGCTTGGCTGTGTTCATCGGGTCCTGTCCTACCTGTCGAAGGTGCAGGAACCTTAACAAGATGGAGTCGAGCCTTCTCTTGGAAGTCTCAATCCAGAATAGTTTTTCACAACTTGTAGAGGTTACTGTGCGTGTACGGCGATGCTCAGAGCTTTAGTTTTCACTTCTAGCTGAGGAGGGCCTTGCGTACATACTCTCATTTAAATTTCCGTCTGTGCCAGTCTTTGGCTGTACTCGGTTCCGACTCGTACGTCACGCTGGGGACATTCCCAGACCCTTGCTGTCCGGTGGCATATTCTCACTCTGTCACTATTTTTAACACTAACTCGGTTTTTAGCACTCTTCGCTCGAAATCCGTGGGGCGGGCGGTGCCCTCGGGAGCGGCGCCGCTGCCCGTGGGGGACCGTTTGCATCGCTGCAGCGCAGCTGGGGCACGCGTTAGCATGAACTGCACCGCAGTTTGGGGCAGAAAGCGGGGTCATTCCCTCTGCCGCCCTAGGCCGCGGCTGAATCAACCCAAACGTGAACGTTTGGAGCACCCAGGAGGGCTCGCGCTGCCGAGAGCCTGCGGCAGGAGTTACAGGGCTGCGCCAGCCCTGCAGCGTTCTTGACACGGAACGGGGAGGCCAGCCTGGAAAGGGAAAACCCAGGAGCCACCCGAAGGGAACCGTTCAGAAGAGAGTTTAATTTAATTGCTCTGCTAATCTAGTTGATCTCTTCATGCTACTTTAATTCCGTTCTGGGGTGCGAGTGTTGTAGCTGGCCGACCAGGCGGTCGCCAGGCTGAATGAAAAGCAAAGTTGAGTTTTAATCTTTAGTTTCTGGATTTTGCCTCTGAGACTGGGTTCGCGGGAGGGTCTGGCAAAGTTGCTGTGAATATCGATGCTGTGTATATGGCGCATTTTGTAAACGTGAAGCAAGCCTGGATGAATGTTTTGTATACTGCGACAGTAGCATTGTAATCCTGCTCCTTTTTTATTCTAAATAAATAAATAAAGTACTTGTTTGTAATGGCTGTGCTTTAAGGGACTGAATTCCTGGGATGCCACGAGCTGAGACTGGCAAGAAAGAGCAGTGGAGTCAAGCACCAGTCCTTCAGCACAGGACTTCACACTTAAAAAAAGCTTAATAATAAAAATCTGACTGTGGCCGCTGTCAGAGGACACCGGTGGCAAAGCCTGGGAGGGGACCTGGGGCCTCAGAGTGCCCTTCAGCCACACAACCATTCCCATCTCGCCAGCGCCGGAGCCAGCCCTCTCCCCGGCCTCCCGAGCTGCCGCGTGGCAGCGCTCCGGCGCCGGGAAACCATCCTGCTGGAGACCCAGCTTTCCGCGATGAGAGGGGCCTGACGCCGCCTGTTCTGTTCTTCCGCAGAATCAAAGGGTTCTTGCTGCAGAAAGAGGAGAATAACCCAGGAGAGCCTGCCTGTAGACAGCTTTCCGTACGAAGTACACACGGCGAGGCAAGAGCCCCCTTTCAGGGTCAGTTTTGGCAACGGCAACACCGCCGGGCAGTTGCAGGGCCACAGCCGCAGTCCGCTCCTCCTGACGATCGGCCCAGCTCCAGCCGCCCCTCTGGGAAGCCAAACGGAGGCCCAGGCGCTGCCAAGCCGGTCTTCGCTCTAAACCAGATCTTGAGGACCTGTCCGCACACCTTGCTGGCCCTCCCCGCATTACAGCCCCACAGCTTCCACAGCACCTGGTGAGCGGATGGTGGCAAAAGCAGCTACATTTCAGGTTTTTGTGCTGGCATCGTCAGCCAAGCCTTACGGGGAAAGGTGAGAAACCAAAGGCGGCGGCAGGGGAAATCTTCCAAGAGCTGCAGGGGGTCCCCGCAGAGGCGGTGCTGGAGGATCGGGGCTCCAGCACCCTCCCACCGCAGCGTGCTAAAGGATCTGTGTCTGGAGCAGGACACGAAAGTTTGTGGAACAGTTGGACATAGTCGTCTTGTTGCTGAACTACGTAATTAACAGCATAATATATAGGGGACAGCACAACCCCCACGCAGCCCTGTCTGCAAAGCATCTTCGGAAAGCGGAGTGATAAAAGACGTCCATTGCAGAACCGCGCAAGCTGGGCAATAAGTAACGTCTGGTTCCTGCTGCGTTCTTACCACCTCCCCTTTACCGTGTTTTTCTCATTGCTCAACATTTGTTTGGCCAGAATAAGATGCTAATAAAATCAAGCGTAGTTACCAAATTGGTTTTCAAGTGTTGCCTTCCAATTATAAAAGCCTAATTCCTCCTTCCACCCACTGAACCTTTTTGGTATTAACAGGCTTTACTATGCAAAGTGATGCAGGGGCTGTTTCGTTTACAGTAATTAAATGAATGTCAATTGTTTTAGTTGTTTCTGAGGGAGAGTTCTACATGAGTATTAGCATGTTCTGCTAACCCTTACGTTCTGCACTTCAGGCCTGCTGCAAACCCTTGGGGGTTGACCATTGACCTGAGACTCCGTACCCAGGCATGCCAAGCGCATCTCAATGAGACGAGCTCTTTTTCTCAGTTTCTATGGAACCAGCGGAGCGGAACTAATATAGCGTCCGCATATAGATGAAAGAATGAAGAGGAAAAAGGGCTTTACAGCTAAATTAATTAAGCAGATGTACCTGTCTAATTAAAGATGCACTGTCCCTTTTGTACCCTAGCTGCAGTACAAACAGTATTTAAATACACTCTCTATCCATTTCATCGATCAAAATATTTAGTGGGAACACTCAGATGAAGGTGATATTAGCAAGATGAGCTTCCCATGTATTATTAATAGAAGGGCTCCCAATTATGCATGAATGCTACAGCATATCTTTATAGCAATAGCATAAAAACCAGCTGCCCAAGCAGGTTACCAAACAGCACATTTGTATCAGGTAGAGCGGTTATAAAGGCCCTCGCCCAGCTTTACATGAGGGCTTGCGGCTGGGCCCCGCGCCGTGGGAGCAGGCGCTGCCTCGGCCCGGCGCTACGAGCCGGAATTTCCCGGCGCAGGAGGCACAGAGGACTCGGCTTGTGCCGCTGGTGCCAGAGGATTTGGCTTTCTTAGATTTCAGAGACATTTATTCTGAGATTTTTTCAAAGCTGCCCTCGAGGCTGGAAAGTCCAATTCTCATTCACCAAACCCCCCCAAAGGTATTGAAAATCCTGACCTTAAACTCTCCCAAAATAACACACTATCCCCACAGCCATCCGGATAACCAGGGTCTTCCCCCCTGAATTTACTCCACAGGAGCGAGGAGGGAATTTGGCACGTACGTCCCTGCAGCACTCCATACAGACCTAGACACACACGGTCAAAGGCAGCCACAGAGGCGCAAACTTATTTACAGAATAGGATCAGAGAAGTCACCTGAAACCAGAAGGCTCCCGGAGGCCTGGCCTCCCTGCCAGGGCAGGGCAGGTGCCTCCCGCACCCTCCCAGACACAGAGAAAGCTGAAACTCCTGCCCGTCCCCCGGTCAAGGGGAATTCACACTTGTACACAAGGGAGAAACAGAGGGAGACAAAATAGAGGCATCAAACTCCGCGCTCCTCTGAATCACAACAGCAAATCACGCCCCTTCCTTGCAAGTATTAGGGATGTGCATTCCCATAGCCACACTCTGAGCCAGCTAACAGCGTGCCGTGCTTTTCATCAAGGATTCTCCAGTGAAGAAAGACTTACCTGAGCGTTCACTGCAGCCAGATCCAGCCAGAGCCAAAAAACCTGGCCCCCACGCTGCCCAGCCCCAGCTCAGTCGGGGCAGCCGCAGGCGGAGCCCCCTCCCCGAGGGAACAGAATTTAGTAACCTCTCTGCTCCTGCAGCTCGTTATGGCCTTAATTGGGTTCTGAAAGTGAAGAACCTGCAACCAGTTTTCCAGGGCTCTGGATACTTTTTCTGGTTGTTGTGAGTCGTTCTGCCCGGCCGCAGGGTTGCGCTGCTGAACAGGGTGACGGGGACGGCCGGTGCATCTGCAGAGCGACTGTTTTGCCAGGACTTTTTAAGCAATCTGAGTTAAGAAGGGAGTAAAAACCTCTGCATCCTGGCCTCCAAGCACTGCAGTTGTCTTTGGGGAAAGCGCACCCCAGAGCTGCAAGCTTCGGTTTTCTCTTTGCTTTTGTGTTTGCTCGCAGCGAGCGTGGCAGTGAGGCAGACAGGTCGGGCGTGGGTGGTTTTGGTGGACAGCACCGAGTGAATTAAGACACAAACACATCTCGTAGCTTTAATGCTCCAAATTGGCTTCGTGGGTATTACATAGTTAAGACAAAACTTATTCACCGAATCACAGAAACAGAAAAAGATATTTGAATTAAACACAGGAGCTTCCCTAGCCACAGTGCTTCGTACCTTGGATCACAAAACAAAAGCTGAAAAAAATTTCCCCTAAAGCAGAATTTCTTGCTCTCTGTACTTCACTCAGCCTTGCTGAGCTTCAGATTTAAGAGAGCTTGCGGGACCTCCTCTTCACGTGCGATAACCTGCCACGTCAGTGACCGGCCTGCAAACGTTCCCGGGAAAAGTTTAAAATCAACTGTTCCGGAAATCATCCTTATTAATTATAAACTTTTTAATTTTTTGCATGGAAGGGGCTTAATGATACAGCTTTCTATAAACTCAAAGACAACATGAGGGTCTTGGTCAGCATTGACATAAAAGGCATCTTCATAAAAATCCTCCAGTTCCTTGATGTTCCTGTAATAGGTTTCCACGCGCTTCTCAATATTTTCTTCCTTGTCTCTAGGGTTCTGCCTGAGCCGGGCTTGGATCTCCGGTGTGGGTGCTGGTCTGAACGTAGCGTGGTATCTGAGGATGAGATACAAATGCCACTGCTTCAGCTCAAGATGAGGATGCCGCAGCCATTTCCTAAGATACCGCGTATCACAGTTCCTTGGAAATGCCTCTTTCTTCTCTAGGTTGGGGTTTTAGAACAATGATTGGAAATTTCAGGGCAAGTAATCTGTCATTCCTGGTCTCAAGAATCCTGGATACTCAAAAGCCAAGAGTTTCTCTGGAGGTGACACAGAGCGAGGGCTGCTAGCGTTTATACACTTTACACAAGGTGTGGAGAAATCCCTACTACGTGCCCAGTGCTCCAGGTTCAGAAGCATTTCCAGATCTGCTCCAGATCCACTCCCCAGGTAACACGCTTTACTTGTAATCTTTGATTCCTATCTTTAAAAAATCTAAAAAAGCCTAACCTGAAACCTTAGCATCCGTTAACAATCTTTGCTGTGGTTCACTGTTACGCTGATGCTGGACATCAGTCAGGAAAAAACTGCCGAACTTTGAGTGCTTGCTCTGCGTTGAATCAGCGAGCCCAAGCACAGCCCCGTGTCCAGGCACTGCCGAAGGCCCTGTAACTTAAAATGTGCTTAAGGCTCTCAGACACTGGGGACTTTCCTGCCAAGATTCAAAAGTGCAGCAACAGGGCTGGGATCACCAATATTAAATTTTGAAAGTATTTCCTATTAGCACGCACGTGGCCGAGTGCTTCCAGCGAGCGGCTGAAGGGTAGCGGGAGCACAGCCCTCGCTCGACACAGGCTCCAAATCACCACAAGCTCCAGCTTGAAAGACAGGTATGCTTCCTCTTGATACGCCACTACAAGTCGGGTTAGTACTGTGTTTGCTAAAGATCAACAAGTTAAGAAGACACAAATACTCTACCTCAGTCTCTATTTCTGGGCAGATACCAGCTAGACTGTAATTGCTAACATCTTTTTATAATAGCTGAAGATAAAAAGAGGTTAATTCACTCTGAGGTAGGTTTTGGTGATTTCAAATTTCCAAAATGCCAGAATTTGGCTTCCCTGAATTCACAGCTGTAGGTTCACTCAACCAGTCAGCAGGCTTCAGCAAGACAGAGGATCTTCGTCATCGGCGTCCTGGAGCAGTGCCGCAGTCCGGCTCGGTCTGCCCGGACCGCTGACACCAAAAAGAATTCTGACGATGTTTCTGCATTGCCAGAGGCTCCCAGCAATCACTAACGGCTCTGTTGCAAACACGTATTTAAATTTCCTGCCACACTAATTCTACTTCTGAGTAAATGTCTCCTGTGCCCTAATACAAACCCAGTTTATCCCTCTTCCCGCCCAGCCAAATTTTCTGAAACTGTTGGGGTAGATGCAAAACCAAGGAGAGAAGCAGAGCCTCGGTGTCTCTGCGCAGAACTGCGTTACAGCTCCGGCTGGTACAGTGACGTGGACACAGAGTTCATTCCACACTAGAAGTATTTAGAGCACAGCCGAAGGCCACCCTCTTCGCTGCACTGGGGCCAGCGGTGCAGGTTTAACATAATGCCGAGGATTAGATACAGCATCTAAAACAATTCAATTCACAATGAATTTGGAAGGAATAAAACCCAGAGTTTGGAAGAAGAAAGCGTGTTAACTGGAGCAGATACCGAACAGGCTAATCCTAATGATAAGAAATGCAGAGATGTGTGAATGATTTGCTTCACGCTGTTCATTTCTTCTGAACAACTGCATCGCTTATTGCTAAAACAAAGAGAACAGTTCCAGCAAATCACTGCTGCTGTCACAAGTTAATGTTGCACCTCGAGTGAGATGTCTGCATAATCATGTATCACTTTGGGACGAATCCAGTATTTACGGCCTTAATCTTTGAGGGTTCAGTATTTGTCCTGGATTCAATAGGATGCATTTAACCATTAGAAAAGTCAAATAGTGGTTTAAAATTTAAGTGTGGGGAATCACACAAACAGAGCACAAGTGCAGTTGCAAATCCACACCAATTCCAGCAGGTATTTAGGAAGATATTTCCTTGTTACTTGTTCCCCGAAAAACAAGGGTGGAGGAGGCAGTAAACCTGAAGGTCACTGGTGAGAGAAGGCGATGCGACTGCCAGGGGGATGAACTGCCGCATTCGAGAACCCAACCTTACAGTGACTCAGTGACTCAAATGAGTTTGCTCTACCGAGCAGGAAATATATTAATATCTCACAGCAGACGGAAGCATCACAGGAGCTGGGGGAAGTAAAATGCAGCAAGTTTTCCATTTTCCCTGGCTGGGAAGCCTTCAAAATGCCCATGGGAATGTCTGAAAACCATCTCCATTTAGGCTAGGTTTCAGACATCTTCCCTCAGCGTTATTTTACCAACCAACTTAGTTACCATTAAAATGTTAGATCTGAGCTACTTGCTACTGTAGATTTCAGGCTCCAAGATTTTAAAATGCCCTATTCTGAGAGCAGGAGCTTGCTGCAGCACGTAGGTGGGTTGGTACTCCAGTCCCTAAGCAAGAGTACAACATTCCTGAGTTTCCTTAGATTTCTACGAAGTCTGTCTGGTGCTTTCATCTCACTGGCACTCTTGAAAAATGTTAAACATCAGACATTAGTGCTAACCTTTCCCCAGTGACGGGATCAATCCTCCGTTGAGACAGTCGTTCCATGATGGATTCATAGGGGAGATTAAAGAAAAATACCCTAGGGAGAACATAACAATTAAGTGCATTAACATGCTGAGAACATCACTTGTGACATTCAGAGTATGAGTTAATCCTTACCCAAACGAACAGCACACACAAACGTGGAAGTGCCAGCACCACTCAAACCTGTGGCACCAGAGACCACTAGCCTATGCACAGGACCGCTCTT